TGAAGGCGTATCATTTCGTGAAAAGTATGTCTCCTGCTTTTGTTAAGTTGTTGTCAAGGTGGTTGAGTACGCTTCGCGGCCTCTTTCAGTCGGTTTTGACGTGCAAAGTAGTAGTTGACGGCCCGGGTTTGGATGCTGCTCGTCTTTCTTTGAAGTACCGCCATAGGGGCGCAATTCGAGATCCACGTGGAGATTGGCATTTCGCACGCACTAGGTGGCTCTAGTAGTGATCCTTTTCTGTATCACATGGAACCGTCATCCTCTGTATCCATCATCACCAGTATCATCTAACCTAAATTAATGCAAAAATTAAAGCTACAGTAAATTAAATTGAGAGAAAAGAATTGATTATTCTGACTTATCGAAGCCAATATAGTATTCTTTACTGTAACGTCTTGAAATAAACTAGAATATACTTGATTTAACTAAAATGTATCTGATTAAAATATCCCTTTCTAATCAGCTCAAACGCACATGTATAATCGGCCTTTCGCGACAAGTGGCGGCTGTTCTTGTTTGTGCCTAGATTGATGGCGGCTGTGGCTATTGCATCCACTCTACCGCTTAATTTGTGCAACTACCCTCATCATTTCACCAAAATTTCAAAGGATTTACGTCCCTTTTACGTATCACACAACAAAACTAAGACTTCAAGCGCCAAGAGTAATAAGTAGCCATAATAACCCTGATAATATTATTATCAGGTATTATTATATAAAAAAAGCAAAAAATCTAAGTACAGAGATTTTATAGGCGAAATAGCATTTCACTTAGGTAACTCATGTTCGTTTAGAAATAAGAATAAAGCATTCGTATATGTCTATATCTTGTATTATAATTCTTTTAGTTAAACTATTATAAAATATATTGAGCGTAAGTATTCCTTACTTTCAAATATACTTTTTTTCGGATGGATTTGATTCAATAATAAATTTCCAAAAAATTCAAATAGGAAAACAGTCCCTCCTACACAGGTGATAAATAATGTATTCGTTTGCTACATCGAGGTGATCCTCGGGGGAGAAAAGGAAACCGATAGTTAGAGTAATTCAGTCCTGAAGGAAGGTCCTCGCTGTCACTCCGATGCTAATGTATTCTCAAACTTCGCTAAGTCTTATTGGAGTCTCGGAGGAAAAACGGAAGGGGACCACCCCCCAACAGAAACAACTTCACAAGTCGCCGTGTTGTTTCAAAGGACTGATTTTTGGAATCATCCGATTGAATTTTTAAGGAGCCTAATCTTATTATTAAAACTTTTACCCTTTCGTTTGATTTATTCTATTTTCATTCGAGGAAATTTGGCGCCGTTTTAAATTATTAATGTTTATTTGCCGTGAGTTGTTATATTTTTGATAAAAATATTTATTTTTAAATACTGTCTATAGTTTACGCGAGTAGTACACATTTAAATAAATCACTTTAACGGTTTAAAACGCGATATATTAGTTAAACTTATTTGAAATTGATTTTTAACTTCGGCCCGACGTTTCGGATGCTTTGCAGCAGCCACTAATATATCGCGTTTTAAACCGTTAAAGTGTTTTATTTAAATTTAAATTTTTAGTAATTTAACCCCGTTAATAATATTAATATATAAATTAATATCTTTCCTATTTTTTAACTTTAAGCTCGGATAATTCAAACAGTAATAAATACCATAAAAGATCTTTCTAATATCTTTCTTTGAAATTAAACTCACTTTCAATCATGATGGCTCTATAAATCAATAAAACAATCATTCTATCATTCAATTTACAATACAAGATTTTAACATTCTTTTATGAGAACACATAAGCATGGACTTCACTTTATGTAAGGTGAAATACTCCAGCCATATAACAACGCTACTACTACTTTTTCGTTTGGATATTCGGAAATCCACAGACTGAAACCAAAACACGATTGAACCTCGCGGATTTTTCATTTGGTGTTTCGTGACTCGGTTACAATTATAATATTTCTATCACCCGTTTAATATCTAGATTTCCAGACGAAGTTCAACATGTCACAGAAGAAAAATGATTAGAAACATTGGATTAGGTGAGGATCGAAGCTACGACACGTTTATTGTTAGCAATGCAACGAATATTACTTTTAAAAAAATATCAATGTTTTAACATTATTCTAAATTTAAAAACTTTTGCTCCACCATTTGATCTACCGTAGCGTGTCTTGACGATTAATGATGATTTTTAAATTTTGAGATATCAACTTACGCTTCAAATGTTTAAGTTAAGTATCCATGATGATCAATGTTGATCAAAGACGATCAATGATGGTCAATGACGATCAAACTGTTAAGTTAAGTATCAATCTATAGTTTTACATATAATGAACAACATCGTCCATTAAATGACAAATTCCTATCGCTTCAATCACTTTTGTATAAGGGTGCAATACAAGATATACAAATATCTATCTCTTTGCATTCACTATTTTGCATTATTACAAAAGAAAGAACCCGACAATGGTACAGCCATTGTAGAGATTTGTGCACAAAGCACTATTGAAATAAAATTCGTTATGAATGAGCATAGTAAAAAGCAAATAGTGACGCGTTTAATTACCTTTACAGATATACCATTCAATGATTCATATTCGCAAACAAATCGTAGCTTCGATACAGAGGGTTTGCTTTCAAACGCAAATACCTAATTACGGAATATCAAATATTACGTTTTCATCCCGGTTATATTATAAGTATATAAATAGTTTAGAGCTTACAAAATTAGTGTTAGGCCTCGCTTTATTTATATTGTGTGGTTTAGTATTCCTGATAAGTTTGAGCAGGCAGGTAACTCAGTTGCTAATGGAACGTGGGATCGTGGTTTCGAGTCCTGCTTATGATATACATTTTTTTGAGTCTAAATTAGATTCTAATTTTTAACCATTTTTATCTTTTGGAACGAATAATATAAAGCAACTACTAGAGCAATGACCGCCTCTGTAGCAAAATGGTTAAACGTGTTGCCTAGCATTGCGTTGAGCGCGAGAGCTGCTGTGTTCGAATCACTATGGGGAAACAGTAAATTGTTTCGGTCGGGCAGGGCACATAAGTCTGATCAACTAGTTGCTTGTAAATAAAACCGATCAGTGAAACGTACACAGAAATAGGGAGAACCTATGCCTCATAAGGAGAAACGCATGCATGTATTTTTTTATATTTTACTTTATAACAAATAAATAACTCTTTTAGATTGTATTTTACATAATTTGTATTGTGTCATGGATCTTAGTCTTTTATTCTAGTCTTCTGTTACTCTATTATTTTAGGTGGTAAGGAACAATTCCAATGCTATTTTCCATTTCACAAGCAGTCTTGTTTTTTATCTTTTAATTTATTTACAAAATTAATAAATGTAGGTATTATTATATTGATTTTTGTTGTTTGTTTGTCTTACATCTGTATGTGTCTTGTGAAATAAATGGTTTTAATTTCAATTTGTGGTTATTCATAACATTATTTATATGTAACTCAAGTTTTGATAAACACAAGCGTGTAAGTCAACAAACTTTGACCACACAATTGTGGCGACATTTGTTAATTTTCAATATTCATTAGTAGTTTGCTTAAAATTCGCTTTGTATTAATTCAATGCGACCGCTTTCCACTTCCATTGTAACTAGTAATTTGAAACCTAATAAAATGTACAGCGGTACATCGCGGGCGTAATACTATCAATTAAAATGCATCAAGTTACCCTGAGTGCTATTCAAAGCGCAGACAGACAAAATTAGTGTTCTCATTTTTAATTCTAATTAGGGTACTTTCAGAATTACGGGCGCGCTCTAGACATTAATTAATTACTATGAAAGAGTCGGCTGACCCCGCCGCTCTATGTCAAAACTTCCAGTTAAATGTTTTTCAATTACAACAAGCTGTAATTATTAAAACAGATTTTATCTATGTTAAATGCATTTAACGTGTTCATGAAAGAGTCAATCAATTTTTCTGTTTTCGCTCTACAATTTAAAAATGTGAAATAACAATAAGTAGATTCGAGTTTTGTACATATACTATTCAGTAAATGACTGTATAATGTATTATATGTAACTAGTTGTGCCCGCGACTTCAACCGCGTGTAATAATTATTTTGGCCATAGAATTAAAGCTGTTTGCTACAACACTGTCCGTATCCCACCCGCAAACATTTTTTAGATCATTAAAAGAAGAATCATTATTTTATACATATTTTTTGGTTTGTAGCTCTAACTGATGTTTTATAGCTTAAAGCTACCACAAATGGTCACACCAACACATAAGCATTTTTCAATTTGAACCAATTGTTCCTGAGATTGGCACATTCAAACAAACAAACTTCAACTTTATAATATTAGTATAGATTATATCAGCTATCTGTCAGTGAAAATCGCTCTAGCCGTTTTAAAGAATCCTTCGTGCGTGCGTCCGACTCTCACTTGGCCGAAAATAAAGGGGCATATGTTAGTCCCTATTACATCAGCTATCTGTCAGTAAAAGTTCCGTGAAAATCGGTCTAGCCATTTCCGAGATTAGCCGGAACAAACAGACAGACAGACAATTTTTTTTTAAATGTTGTTTTGGTATGTGTACCGTGTATAAATCCATATGCATTTAGTAAAAAGCGGTTATTTTAATGCTACAAACAGACACTCCAATTTTATTTATTTGTATAGATCTGTCGTTCTCGCGATTCACAGTGTACTTAGTCTGTATAATTTTATTATATCTCTGTGAACTATGGTAACTTTTCAATTTTGTCAATGGTAACAACTCTATACGTTAATTTAATATTAAAAGTGTGATACAGAGTTAATATTAAAATACAACCTAATCTGAGTATGTACTTTGTGAGATTACGGGTTAATTGCCTAATTATTACGAGTTGGTATATTGTGTCATACGTTATGTTTGGGATTTGATTCAGCGTCAAATGTGATAAAGTATCGTTTTTTAATTATTATTATTGTTTAGGCCGACATAGCAATTAGAGAGAAACACCGATACTGACACATTCACTATGTTAAAATCGTCCGCACTGGTGTCGTGGGATTTACCTCACACAAAACGTAATTTTGACCAACCCGAACATATATTATTAATCGCCCAGCAAATACACGGCCCAGATGACCGCTTACGTCCGGCTGGAACGTACAAAACACGACTCAGCTTTTACCCGGATACCCGGCTTTTACCCGCATTTATAACCGGTTATTGATGTGCGGGGCACTTCTAGCAAGTCATTCTTACGTTCAATCATTAACTTTAACAATAAACGTCAAATAAGTTTATCCTAATGTCTTGCATGGATAGACTACATGACTATTGCTTTTGTTATTATTATTTGAATGTTGTAGAGAAAACCCACAGTTATATATTCTAATATTTAGCTCCTGTAAGCACAAGTACATAATTTACTTTTCAATATGCATGTATCCCCGTTTTCCAGTAATTGAATACCATTTTCCAATATCAACAGCGTTAGATATACCTCAAAGCTATATCAAATAATAAACACGTATCTTGAATTGTTGCAAAGGACGTTTCAAAAAAGTTTTTTGATCCAACACGTTCTATTCGTTATAGACGGACTTCAACAGTAAATCGAGTCTAATTTTTCACGTGGATGGAAAGCCACATAGCCACACAATATAACCAGCTTGACATATCTGTCGGCACGGCTTGATTCGTTGGCCTGGTTCCCGGAACTAATTGAGACTGTGCTATTGACTCGCAGCGCTGCGGAGCAGAACACTACCCGCTCATTACACGATCGAAAAGGAAATCTAGCGGATGCTACTCTATCTCTTATTTCTATTCTATTCTCTTTTAATATCATCTATGTAAAAGCTTTTGGGGTCTTTTGAGTTTTAGTCAATGTTTGAACTTGTTATATTAAAAAAAAACTTTAGTTACATTTCACGCATCAAAATAATATATTGAAATTATTGTTTCAGACTGCCTCCACCTTCAACTGTACAGAGACCCCAAGGACAGATACAAGAAAGGACAAACGAAAGCCTCGCTCTCATTACAACACTTTTTGGGCTTTGAGTCTGGATTTACGTTGGACAAAGAATCTAACACTATCGCAATCATATGCCAAGACGTAATAGTTGTGTTGGCGTTTGAATCGAGGGAGAGGCTGATCGCATGGCAGGTGAAACTTGGTTGTCAGCTGGGTAACCCGAAGCAGTTTCTCGTGATGATTGGAAACGGGGGATCTAAGAAGCTGCCGGCGGGACCAGCTAGACTGCACCTTCAAGGTCGACGTTTCACTCTGACTAGTGGTGTGCCACCAAAAGTTCTCGGTATATGGGAACTTGCGCATCTAAGGTAAGTATGGAGATTCTAAACTGGTTAGGTGATACACATTGAAGCTGCATTTTTACATATTATGTGTTCACAAAGCAGTGAAATGTTCTTCGATAGACATAGCATTTATGTCTCACGATTTTCTTCTTTACGATACAAAATAATAGCCTCATGTAATCAGTCTGTCCCCCCTATAAGTGACGTGACAGCGCATGATAAAAACGCACATAAAGCGTGAAGATAATAAAATCGCATGGCGGTCCGTTTAAAAGCGGGCATCTGATATATGCTACAATAAAACTCGATCATTTCGCGGTGGCCCATAAACGGCATCTGCTTTATGTACTCCGTCTAGAGTTAATGGTGTCGACTTCCGGTCCGCCATCTTGTGCGCGCCAACGCGACGCCATCTTAGCGTTCTACCGTCTTCCTTCATGCCAAAAATGCGAGGCACATTTTGTAAAGTCGTAAACACGGGCTTATATTGGATAAAAGATTAAATTGTATACTGTTTACAAAATCGTACATTTGTCATGTAATTGCGAAAATTTTCAAAATAATGAATAAATATATAGTCTCTGTAAATGTTGTTCGCACTGACTGTATTTGTATGTTAGATAAATGTGTTTTAAAATAATTATTACTCGTAACAACTTACTGGTTAAAACCTCAAACATACGGAGCAAATTTTACCACATATTAACGACATAACAACAGCAATTAGGCGTTCTGTAAAAGATAGCAAATAGATACTTCAGTTATGCAGGAAAGTTCTCTTTGTGGTGGCGGCCATTATAAGCTAACTTCTCGTTTACACGGTTTAAGCTGAAAATTGCAGTTTCAGAATATAAAGCAAAACGGTGAGAGCCGCGGCACAGTTGACATATAAACAGTAGGTACAGTCTGCCATCGTTGTACCTCAGTGTATGAAAAGCGTAAAATTTTCAAGTACATTTTTGTTGCTCTATTTTTTTTAATTAGTCTTGTGAGAATAAATTAAGATATTTATTGATACGCACAAAATTTAAATGTAATGAAATATTAATAATATCGCCACTGAGATATCCCTACTGTTTTGATAAGTCTGAACTTGCGGTTACTAACTCATACGTGGTTCCTTTCGAATGTGCTTCGTTGAACATAAAAGCAGCGGTCCACAGCGTCGTTTTGCACTCGAGACAATATGACACTTTCGACAAATCCGTTGAGAATTACATTGCAGCTCCCTAATTCCTACGTTCTGATACGAAAATTATATTTGTCTAATTCAATTACGTTTTTGACATCATGTACTGGGTAGCCAATTCGTAAAGGTTATAACAGTTTTATATGACGATTTTTATTACTACTGACATATATTTATCGGCGTAAAACCGATTGCTATACTAAAGATACGTCTGAATAAGTTTTTCAAACTAACATCTTAATTGATCGAAAGATTTGAGTTACCTGGAGAGGATTGGTCAATAGCGACGAAGCCTCCCGTACTTTGATTCTTTAATTTTATTATGTTAAGTTTTAGGGTAGCATTTATATAGATATTTATAACATTAATATTGTATTGCTATAAATAAATATATTTTACAGACGATATGGCGTAGTGGAAGGTCGGTTTTGTTTTGAAGGAGGCTCCCATTGCGGTAAAGGTGAAGGCCTTCACTTGCTTATATCAGACCAAGCCCAGGAAATTACCGATGCTTTCGATCAAGCAGCACACGGCAATGTTCCTACACCTAAAATGAAACGTAGTGCAGGTAAGCTTCACTACATATACTTTTTTATCATTTCTATAACTAAACGCGTAGCAGTCCAAGTAATTGTTAAACGTATATAACTTCCATTTTTAGGCACTGAAAAAGGTAAATCGAGACCAAATACTCGTATGTCAGAAAACACTCAAACATTTGATCAGTCAATGCCAGACTCGGCGAGCGCTCTCTACGAAGAGAACTATTTCGGAGAAGACTGTGGGGCAGGTTCTTCGTTTTGGCCCTCCGATGAACAAAGAGGGCAATTTCAAGAACAAGAATATAGAACGGATATTGATGTACCAAAAGCACCATGGGAAGGAGCTGATCACGTTACTCTAGAACGTTGTAGCAATTGCCAGTCGAAATTGGGTGCTATATCTCGATCGTCTACCGTTGCATTGACTCCAGGAACAACTTTTAATCCAGAGTGGACGATGGAAGCAGTGCCCGGCAGCAGTTCTGATAACTCCTCAAACAGTACCGAATATTTAACACCAAGAGAAATCAATAAAAATTGTAATTCATGTTCTTGCAAAGACCGACCACCAGATAGACCACCGAAACCGACACAATTCGATCAGAAAAAGCCACCAGCTCCCTTACCACATCTTTGTGATTTTTCCAAAGATGACGACAGTATTCCTGCTATGCATAATGCGAAAGTGGGTCCTTATGAAAATTACGATGTTCCTAAAACCTTGCATTCTGAGGTAAGTTTAAAAATCTCAAATAAATTATATAGTGTCATCATATACATGTGAAAAATATTAAATTTTCAAAAGTGTAAATACTATTTATTGATTCAAAGAATACGGTAAAAATAAATATATTTTTGTATTGTCTTTTCTCTTATAAATGATTGTGAAAAGATTGTTAAAATAAATAAACTAATAACGAGCTTAATTTTAATATAATTTTCAGATTGATAATGCAGAATATTACGACACACCTAAGAAAATAAGACAAGCTCTAACTGACGACTTATTCCAAGTTACAAAAACATCCTCTCCAGGATCTTTAGTACTAAAAAAACAGTGTGGATGCATACTGAAGTTTGGTTCAAAAAAGAAGCCCACTATCGTAGATTGTGATGATAGTTTTAGACCAGTCGAATGTCCTTGTCAAAAAGTTACGAGTTGGGCAAATAGTTTGATCGGTTTGCCTTATTGTAAGCGCAGTAACAGTAATGAAAAAGTCAATGTGCAAGAGACAAGTCGGAATGTTGACGAAGGAAATGCATTATATGCAACCGTTGATATTTCTAGAAAGACCAATCGTCAGAGCACTTCAACTTGTAAAGATTCCGAAGTATCCTATGAGCACGTATCCACAAACTACCAAAACATGGATATATCAGATGAAAAGGAATTCGAAGGCCCCTATGCGAATTACGAAAATTTAGAATTCGCTCTCTCATTAGAATATTATGAAAATGCAAAAGATTTATTGAAGAAGGCAGGTGTAACACAAAGTGAATTAGACGCCCTCAGTGCCAATATAGACAAAGCATCTACAACGTTGCCTAAAAAACGAAAATTATGTACAAAATGTGGTCACGCGCAATCGTTAAAGGGAACGCATAACGTCAACGGCAAGTGCGACGAATATTTACTAATGGAACCACCAAAAGATTCTAAGAGTGAACTAACTCATCGATCGAATGGGCAAAATCCTGGTTACACGCCGATGGTACCTAATCCAAATTGGTCACAAAGCTTAAAGCATCCGTTGCAAAAGATAAATCGTACAGAAATAGAAAAAAGTATGAGTATACCTACATTGAACGGAAGTATAAATAGAGATAATAATTTGGACCGTTCCAGTACCAGTCTTAGAGAAGTGATGCAGAAAAGATCCAGCTCCGTCGATTCGGCTCCACTACTAGAGGACTCAAAGGAGTTTGACAGTAGTATTGGTAGTCACTTGACGTCTTCTTCTCTAGAAACGCTGAGAAACTTAGCTTTGGAGAATAGACTCTCGTCTCCGTGCGAAAATTACGATTGTTGTAAATCCTCCGGTTCAGATAATAAAACATCAGACGATAGTTCCGTTAAAGACGTTCCGCATCTACGAAACAAGCATATGGATAACGCGCAAGCTAAAAGAGCGTCGTGCGTGCCATGCAAAAATGGCAACCGCGATTCGTCCAGCTCGAACGACTCCGGTGTTTCGAGCTGCTCGATGAAGCACGCCCCCGAATACCAAGACTTCGAGATGCCGCTTACGTCTGGACAGTCGAGGTATAACTATATGATGCTGAAACGATTAAGAGGAGGGATTACAACCTGCGTACATTCATCTCTGCCGAGAAAATCAAAATCATCCGATCCCCTCCGTGACATGTCGATGCAAATCCATAAAGCCAATATTCGAGCGAAGTCATCTTCTGCAGAGGCGGAGGTACCAGTCTTGCCTCCAAAGCAACTTAAAGGTAACCCACTCATTGATTATTTAGGGGCTTAAAACATGAACTTTATTAATATTTACCTATGGCCCGATTATATAAAATATAATTTTTAACTTTATTTAGGATTGGATTTATTAATGGCTATTAATTTATTCGTGTTTCAATAAATCTTATCTTTCCTTTTAATTCTACTATTTCTTTAAATAAATCAATCTACTAAGTATCTCTTTTTGTAGGCGTTTTGGACACCCACAGCACATCGAGTGGAACGTCAGACATGTCAGACTATATTGAAACTCTCTCATTGACGTCATCGCAATCTTCTTCAGACACGCAAAGTGGTGTCAGGTATTTTAATACGCTTTTTAACTTGATCTCCTAGTATAGTGTAAAAATCCGTTTGATGTAAATGCCTGGGGTATAGTGTAAAGATATATCAGTACCAGTTTCCTTGATCGATTTAAAAGCTTGATAAGACTGATATCATTAATATGACTTATGCTCCCAGCCCATTAAACAATTTTATGTTTTCCCGAGATTGGAATCCAGGATTTCCAGAACAACCGTTAAACTATAGAAAGGAACTCAAACCGTAGAATAATTAAACATAGGTGTAGGTAGTCAACAAATCACGTGAAGTATCTTATTAAGTATACGTCGAAAGATTACTCGTACTTAAGTTAAGCATAATTGTACAACTTTCAGAATAAACCGCCAACCGACAAGCACTCTAAGGCCTCGCTCTGGCAAAGAATACCACAATATGGACCCGATCCTTACATCTATGTACAAGAACGGCAAGGACCTCTCAAACTACACTAATTTACCCTAAAATTGTGTTACCAAAGTTTATCAAGGAATAGAGACTGTACTAATAGTTTTGTTACAATTTGTACCGTTGTGTTAGCATCTTTTGTATTTTTATAAAGTGTAATTAATTTTAATTAGACCACTTTTAATACAATTTATGAGGAACAGATCTATTATGAAAAGAATTGTAGCTCTATGTTACACAGTAATTGATCGAAAGACTTGATTTTCTATAACTGTTTTATTTCCAAATAAGAAGACTGATTTTCTTATTCAACTTGATTTATTTAGCAACCTAGATATTCTGTATCCGTAATGTTAGAGATATTATTATGTACATCTCAAACTATTATTATATTGGACATGAAAGTATTGTATAAAATTGTAAAAATCGAATAAATATTATAACAACGACCGCTAAAGTAGTTAGTAGTTCTTCGACTACTGTCACTGATTCCACACTATTTTTTATTAGACCTAGTATTTTTTTTTCGTTGTGCATTTTTGTTTGAAAGAAACGTGGTATCAGTAACACTAGTCGCGATGTTATTCTTTTTAGATTCTTAAGAAAATATATATATAGCCCTTGATAATATAATCTTACCTACTTTATTTATCCTACATGTTGTATGCTAGTGAAAGTTATTTCTGAACTTATATCTAAGTACATGAAACCTTTATATCTTTCATTTTTCATTGTTTTAATTATGTTACATAACGATTGTTATAAGTTCATAAATCATAAGTATCTCTTTACACCTACATATCTGTAGAACTTTCGCTAGAATTTCCCCTCTTTTTCCCTCCCGTTGTTCTCACCCCTTCCACCGAGTATTACTTCAAATTACTATGTATATCTGCGTATACTTAAAAATATAGTTATTTGTAAAAAAAGACTGTTGTTTTAATTTATATGTTGTACTGTCTATATGTACTATATGCAAGTAGTACACATTAAATAAAAGACTTAACTGATTAAACACAAAATAAGAGGCCATAAAACGTTGTATGTTACTACAAAAACAATATCCGTTAAAAAGTAATGTAATCCTCGATTTAAGTGTAATATTTGAGTTTTTAGGTCAATAGCATATTTTGCAAACATTCCATTGTATTTTTTTTTATTATTGCATCACATCCCAAGGGAGTATAAAATAATGAATACGTAAGCTATTTATTTATTTTTTGATATTATTAATTATAATTATCAAAAATAAATAAGGGATCTTCTATGTCAAATTAATTATTAATAACAATCAAAGTAAAAAGCAAATCGTGTTGCTTGGTCTGTTTCGTTTTGTGAAACAAAATACGCTCTAAGACAACAGTTAACAGTTAATGTAGATTGTTAATTTCAATAAAATGAGCACAGATTACAGAGTCACCCCATAGGATCATTAGCGGATGGGCCATGGGGCGTTTCCGAGAGTACTCCTGAATACCTAATGAGAACAAAATTGGAATACGTGTGTTGTTTAAATATTAAATCTTACACGGGATTCATAATTCAATTACGCTGTCATGGAATACTGTTTCGCTTAAAACGAGTTTTTATTATGTACTGAAGAGGCGCCCAAAAGCTTTGCAAATTATAAGTAACAGTATTTAATTTTAGCGTCTCTGTAGCTAAATGGTTAAACGTATTGCCATGCATAAGTGCGAGAGGTTTTGGGTTCGAATCCAGGGGAAACAATTATTTTGTTTCCATCGTTTAAAAAAAAACAAAAATGTATTTGTTACATGCCCCATGGGAAAACGGGATTTCACATTTAATGTGAGGGATAAGTATTCTATAATTATTGCCAGGGTACAGAACTATGATAACATATTTTCCTATTCGTAAAGTTCCATGCCCTCTTTGTTTTTTAAAACAAAGAGGGCATGGAAGAAGGAGAAAGGGCAAGAAATTTGGACTTTAAAATATCGATGGATTGTTCGTTCGATATTTATAATTATAGAACGACCAGAGAAATATTATGTTAAAAGTCAATATAAATTGACAACGTAGTTGGGTAAACTTTACAGGCGGGACAAATGCCGATCGTGGCACGGTACGCTGTAGGAAGTCGATTCTAATCCCACCTGTTTCATCTATTTAAAACTAAAAGTTTATAGTTTTTCGAATTCACATAATGCGATATTCTGTTAAGTTTAAAAGAACCTCAATTTTCAAATTTTACCTGTACCTCCTGTTGGTCAAAAAGCTCCATCCCAAATTTGGGTAGCTTCATATATAATATTAAGAATGCAAATGCACTTAATACGAAAGCTTCAAAAGATAACAGTCGCACGAAGTCAAAGCGAGTTAAATTAATATGCACCGCGTGCGATCTCTTGCATATATTAAACGGTGCGTCAGACATTACGGACCTACGTTGTACGTAGAGCCACGTAATCGCTAGATAGCGGTCGAATATATTGGTAGCTCGTCGGGACTTGTTTACAACGGACCCAGAGAAATCTGAAACACTAGTTCGATCTTTGAGTTCGGAATTTGCGGTTTCGACCAAGCACAATGGTCTCAATTTTCCTTCAAGGTTCTCGGAATGTTAACTACGGGGATTACTAAACCTATACAAATAAATTGAATTGGGATTACTAAAACAATTAAAAAATATTAAGTTATATTATCTTGTAGACATATATAACAATATTTATTTAAAGTTCCTGCAGAAAAGCGTTAGAAATAAATACACACTAAATCTTTATTACCTAATCGCTAAATCGCGCTACTCTATTAAAATAAGAGATACGAATAAGTTGATCACAGTTTGTAGTAAGTCATTTCACTGAGATTCAAACCCGTGGTTTCAATGTTTAACCCCTCCGCCTTTAGGGTAAAGATCGACAGGATATTTGAATTGTTTAAAAGTGTATTCACAAAAAAATTAAGAATCGAATTGAAACACATATTTTTTGGTTAGAGCAACAGCACGGAACGCGGTGGATGCTGGTTCAAGTCGTGCCCGAGTCGTAATTTTTTTTCAACTTAAAATCAATTTTAATTTATATAGTGTCATGGTGGCACATGAAAAATATAAACGTTTTTAAACTGAACTCACATTTACTTCAAATATAAGGATTCTGTCAATCCCCCGAGACAGAGGAAGATGGGAATTAACCCAATCAATAAATAGGTAGGAGATATGTTAGGTCAAGGGGCTTTACACAAACGTCTTTGAGGTGCCTCTAATTCAATCATTGCCCATGGCAATCGCTCCTCCGATGATGCAAATGAATCTCCTGTCATTTGCATAATGCAGTCTTAGAGGCGAATTTGAAAGATGCGCCTGCGTGGCATTTGGATTTACATATTTTCATAATCCTGCCTTCGGAGTTGTATATGGCGAAAATATGAAAATTTTTAATAAGTGAGGCAGCGAGGTATTTGCATACTGTTAGCATTACAATTCCTTGCCGGTTCCACAGAACAAACAATATTATAATTGTTCTAGTTTTTACTATTTTACTTGCACTTGTTTGATGCTTTTCGTTTTTGTTTGAAACTGCGTTATTTTTTAAATAAACGACTCGCGGAATAACAGTCCGCCATTGTTATTTTCATATTTAAACGAGGTTTTTTCTCATCTTTACTTTTTCCGCTTTAAATCACATTGCATATGTAAAATAGTTAAATAACACTTTAATGGTTAGCGAATTAGTTCGCGTTTTAAACCGTTAAAGTGTTTTATTTAAATGTGTACTACTCGCGTAAACTACAGACAATATTTTATTTAAAATAGGTTGGTAATAAATGTGTAAGGCGCAAATAAAGGTACCTTGATTGATTGATGAGAATTTACTGTTTAGATTATACTTAGTTGAAGATATTACTAAGCCTATCAGCTTCCTGTATCGTTTTCGAGAACACAAGAATTAAAGACACGCCGTAGCGCGTTATGTAACGTAATCACTGCGCTATTTAATGCGAAACCTGGCGAAGGAAACGTAGTGCATTTACAAAGTATACTTTTCAAAATATTGCCAGGCTCGTTGGTCTGTCTGTCCTACTCTGTCATAAAAAATTTAACGTTTTCCATAAAACATCTCTACTTATCATATAATGGTTTTTGTTCAAATTCCCCTGTAACTAATATATATGACCATAAGCCCTATCTTAGCATACCGTAATTAACACTAAACAATACGATGCGGCGAGAGCCGGCGAACACACCGGCGAACATTAACACCATCGCGTACCTATGCAATGCATATGCTGACCGTGCAACAAACATTGCCGACAAATTAAATGGCCGTCTATTTACGGACATGTACAATGTTATAAAGCTGAAGAGATTTTGTGTCGACGGGCTAACATCCATATTTATAATTAGTCTGATTTCAGGTGCTTTGTTACACTTTATTTAATAAGCATACTGATTGTCTTGGTATTAGTTTTATTAAAAAAAGAAATCATACGCTATTATTTTGAATTATTTCGTTGTTTCCTCTGCCTAACAATTTATTTATAACAAAGTATTTATTTATCTTATACATGTTGGCCTCATTGTAGCTTTGATGGGAGTTAAATAAAACACTTTCAATGGATAAATCGCGAAGTGTATTCGTTAAATTTTTTGAGCCACCGACTGTGACTCTCAATTCAATCATAAGTATTGTTTATTTGCAAAGTTTTTTTTGTATGATAGAGCAGGACATTGCGCGCATTGAGAGGTATGAGAGGCATGTATCAATAAGTTTAAACAATTTGACGATGAGATGTAGGACTCGGTAGCTCAATTGGTATAGCAACAGCGCGGAACGCTGACGATACGGGTTTAAGTCCAGTCTGAGTCGAAATTTTTTTCAATTTATTTTCGATTTTTAAATTATAAATACGCTGTCGATTTTTGGCTTTGGATATTCGGGAATCCACACACTGGAACCGAGACGCTATTAAAGTACAGTATTTTCATCTCTAGACGGTGGTTGTGACCCGGCTAGAATTTTAATATCCCTATGACCCATTTAATATCCAGATTTCCTGGCGAAGTCCAACGTGTTTTAGAAAAATTAGAAACATGTTCGACCCAGTGGAAATCGAACCCACGACCCGTTGATTATTACCATTAGACCAACGAGCTCGAGAAAAGTACTTAAACTTAACGAAAACATAATTTACATGAACCGAGTGAGCTGTTGCCGGGTTTTAATTCATCCTTAATTGCGACTGTAATGGCTTCGCATTGACCTCAATTCCCGATCTAAAGGACACGGAATTAGATAAAAAATAAGAATTGAATTCCTTTGGATCGCTAATGCGCCTCTGATTAACTCTCTTTCTGTTAAACCGTTGTCTAATTGACTTTTAAGAACCGACGTTGAAAACACGGTAATATTTTCTTCACTTGCTTTTAATTCCGAATATTATTATAAAATCATTTAGGAAAATTGTTCTTTATTTCGTACTAACAGTGCCAGTGAATCGTCCGCGTCAATGTGGCACGTAATTTTGGGCATAATAGTATATACTATACCCAAAATTACGATGCGGACGAATTTTTGCAAACAACTCCTCAGCTTTTTGAATTGTAGCTTTACCCAGATCGTCTGCGTTCTGTTTTTGCAAGTTAATCTTAAAAGATAAACACTAGACATACTACTAAACACTACTGTCATTATTTAGATAATTTTAAGAAGAAACATACTGTTACATATTTATACACTCTCTCAAAGAAAGCCCTCAAAGTTAAATAATAAACATTAAATTTTTAATGACATTACAGAATTGAATACTTCTTAAATTTGACCCGTTCAGGACGTTGGAACACTGATTTTCAATGGGCTAACGCTTAGTCAGCTCGTCAGAAAAAACAATACGCAATTTATTTTATAGGAATAATTTTCGTAGATCCCAAATAGGAACACTACTAAATAAGGCCTGTGTATACGCATACGTGGACCAAACAGTGCTTTTAATCTGCATTCATTGTGTGAAACAATCTCGCATCCCCATCAGACAATGTCCATTTTATTTTTTCAGGCCCGAGGCCCAGTTCGGAGCCAGACAGTAAATTAGAGACGTGGCCAAATCCAGAACGGCGACGCGAGGGTCGGAATAATTACAAATCGGCAGAGGGACCCGCCATTATTCATTCGCCAGAAAGTCAACATTTTCCATTAAAACCGCTTTAATTCGCTAGCAACAAGTAGTTAGAGAATATTTGAAGACGATCAGCAATTCAAAACCGGGTTCAACCACTTATTACGATAATGGAATATTAATTTTCAATTGTCGGTGCATTGCCGCGTTTGTTATGAATCGCTTTACCCACCACCTTATGACGCAGCTATGTACGCTGGGCTAGCGATAGTCTCTCGAGCAGACGACCCTACCCCGATATTAAAATTCATTTTTAGCAAATGTCACATTATACCGTTTCTCCCACGGGATCCGATGGACCGCGCGCTTCGTATTACGAAGAAATGGGTTTCGAGATATGCGTAATATTTTATAGGATTGTCTGCGTAATCTTAATATCGGAAGGGATTATTACATGTTAAGTAGGGCAGGGTTAATGTTGTTCGAATTATTTATGAAGCTTATTCTGGGCATAAAAATAAATAGTTATTTTTTAAATTGCATCCTAGCTTAGTATTTAATAATTTATTTATATTTTTTAATACCATAGCAACTTATTGTGGACTCGTACTACAATCATCGTTTTCTAGACAACATTAAACTCAGTAAATAAGAGAAATTAAGCCGAAAACTTCAGAAAAAGTCGCAATTAAGTTGAAACAAAGACAATGATAATAAAAATTAACCCCACCATTTTTAAATAGTCTGAAACATTCGATCCAATATATATTTTTTACTTCAGCTCCTACACAATTGACACTTAAAAGGCAAGAAGGCAATTAAAACTTTTTAATCAGTGACGGAGGCTTTTTAAGAAGCCATTATCTTCGCAAAAAATCTTTAGTTCGTCATTAGCGGGACATTTTATATAATTTTTCACTCTACCAAGGGCAAAAAAAAGAGATAAAAATTTAAGAGCTAGGAAAAGAATAGCAGTAAGGTACACCTCGGCAGTTGAAAAACGTCTTTTGAACACAGTGGCAAAGTACGGTTAGCATATTAACATCATAGGAAAACCTTACCTATCATAGGTGTACATAGAAATATAAACAAACAAAACACGATTGATTTATCCAGGAATCGTTCCCCTCTCTCCCTGGGGAACCCCGCGTGTGTGAGGTTTTTATATTTACATAATACGTGCTCGGGCGTCTGCAGTCAAATGTATTTCGTTTCAAATGCCTTTTGAAAAGTGCGGGAGCTTAATTCTTTCACTTTGACGCTATGAATATTGAATATCTTGATAATTAGAAATATATATTTATATTTTCAAAATCTCAATCCAAACTGTTAAATACTATAATAGTACTTTGAATAAATAAAAAATGAGTTTTTATCACACAATTTACATACATATTACGTCTAAAGAGCACGTCTATTTTTTTATTATCGAGGAGGACACACAAGCATAGAATTAACTTGATAGTAGGTAAAATACACCAGTCATAAAACTATTTGGCTTCCGATATTCGGAAATACAGACTGAAACCGAAACGCGACTAATCTTTACGGCTAAATAAAGTAATTTAAAAAAAAGTTTTTTTTTACCAAAAAATTACAATTTAAATTATGTATAAATGTGAATCTGGGTTACCATACTATTGTATATGTAACTTCAATTCCATATTAATAAGATCTAATTCCAAACAAGATAAATCTTCAATTGTCTTTGGCTAGAGCGGAGATGAATACATTAGAATATCGTTAGTAAATCTCGATACATCAATCGGTAAGTGTAGATTTGCAGCGTGGCGTTAGCCGTGAGGCGACAATATCCTGTTAATGCCTGGACTCGAGCATAATGGGACATGAGCCAACGTGTATATTGTGCTACACCAAGTAGGGTTGCCACCTCATTTCAATAAACACTAATTAAAGTATTAAAAAAGTATCTATACAACACGACGCTGATTCCTTTTTATTAAGAATGCCCGTAACACAAAGGATTTTTATCTACATTTTCTCAAATGGGCAGTCCCCCGTATGGTCAACAGCGCATCTTGCTTAGGTATTATATGGCTGGGGATATTTCACCCACCATCAAAGGAACTACATGCCTGTCTTTCCTCATCTATCATAAAAAAGCCAACACTTAATATTAATTAAAAAATGATTTGTTTCTTAATATAATTATTGATCTGTGCTCGCAGTTTTTATATTTCTGGATCTATAAGCGAAAACTTTAATTGGCTTTTTGGCATTATTTTGTCGACTATCGTATAAATGTACTAGCTATAACTTTGAGAATAAATACATTTTACGTTAAAATTCAACCCTTTGAATAAAGCCGCCATTTTTAAGTGACCCTTCCCTTATCATTTAGCAATGTGTCAACAAAAAAATATTCTACTGTACTCAATTAAAAAATATAGATAAATGTCAATTCAATAAATATTTCATACAAAGTTTCAATGTAAACATTTTTTATTATTTTAGATTCACAAAGATTATGGCATAACCTGTCGAACCTGTCTTGACGTTTAGATCAATGGTGGATAGTATGCTTGCTCTACCAATAGAGCTACCATGTCTAACTATGTCATCATAGAATGTCTCAATTTTATGATCACAGATTAGCCACTCTCGTAATACTACTATTATATTAAATATTATTATATAATTATTGACTAAAACAAAATAAGTAGACAGTGACAGCCCTACGAGTTGACGTAAGCTTAGAGGCTCTCCGGCGATCAAGGAAGCCCTGCAATAGTGTGCTTTAATTACTTACTACTGATACATCTCAGTATTAACCTTCATGTCATTGATACTGCAAGGAATTGCTCACACCGTATCATACAACTCTGCTGGGATGTTACATTCGCGTCGATGAATGCTTTTGTTTATCTGTCATATTTTTACAATTATCAACTTCAGTCCACATTACAATAAGGTAATAATATTTTTTTTTATGATTGCCGAGCATGAAAACTTTACATTGGTTTATTCATGCCAATGATCACTCGCTTACCTGATATCTACAATAAATATAGAACTTTATTCATAATAAATTGTCTTAATTATAAATTACTTGGTGAATTCATTAAAAAGTAAGTTTGGGATGTATGGATAGAGTGAAGGATTAAATTTTTTTTTGAATTAACTTCTTCTGTTTGTATGAACACCAAAATCTCCGAAATCAATACACAGTAAATTCTGTAAGGCTTTCACGGCCATCGTTCAGCTTGTCAGTGTGTTTTGGGCTGTGCGGCCGATCTAAAAACCTCTTCTCGCTTACATGGGCCGAACAGCCCGAACAACAATGAAAAGCAATAATTTTCACACAGCACAGTAATTTTCAGTCGTGTCCAATTTAAGCAAATAAAAAAAACAAAGTAATTTGTATGAACCTTAGAAATTATTTCAATTGAAAAGTAATATGCTCGTTTTGATAAATATTTCACAGACATTGTGAATAAAATCTGGTCTAGTATAATTTTCTTTCTTTCATTTGCATCATCACCAACGCTCATAAGCTACGTTACATTTACAGCATTGAACGTAGACGCTTAACAAGAGAATTCGGAATGGAAAAATTGTAGTTGAAAAGCAATGGTGTAAATGAAGCAATAAAAGATTAACGAGCAGAAAATGAAATAAAAGCGAGCTTGACTCCGGGGAACGATTTTTGCTTACAGTTCTCTCGCAGCGAGGGCTTTCAATTACTCTTCTTTTGATATTCTTTTATCTGCAAATATTGTTAACTTCGCTTAGCGATCCGCGGTCAAATTATTTCGTCTAATCATTACGGTAATGACACAATCATTCGGCATGACTTTAGGCTATGAAAATGCTAGAATTCAATTCGTTTTTGCAAACGTTCTCCTCATTTTTATAAATGATAGCTGTTATCCACTACGTCAGTCGCATCCCGTCGTTCTTGCAAGTTAAATTTAATAGTAGACTCATACTACCGTACATATTTTTAATTATTAAAAGAGGAATCATTCTTTCAAATTATTAAAAGAGGAATCATTCTTTCATAGCAACGTTGCGTTTATGTAGCGCACGCAAAGAAAGCCCTCAAACATTAAATTTTCCATTGCTTCTTTGATTTTTTTTTATTACAGCGTGATATTAATTCGAGACATTCTTAAGGCTACAAATTCGAACCACTAGTTTCTGAGATTAGCGCGTTCTAACAAATAAACTCTTCAACTTTATAATATTAGTAAAGATTATGCTTACATGTCGCATTCAAAGACTTTTTATTATATTCATTAAATTTAGTTATTTTATTGACCCTTAATTAAATAAAAAATACAAGATATATATTCCAGCTTCATTTAACCAAGCAAAAGCTTACTCACTGTCAAAAAATTTGATATTGTCATAGACAGAAAGACAGGTAGCAGTTAAGGTTTTCCGGCACGATGAGATGCGTGAGCTTTGAGAATTTTTTATTCACATGGATACTCATCTTGTTGAAGGACACGTTATTATACAAGAGGAGGTTATTAAAACGCAATAATGCCAGAACATTCGTAATTCCCCTCGGCCCCGGGGCGTCAGCACTAATTGGCGTAGAGCAGAAGGGAAGCAGGGTACAAAACAAAGAACCCCAAATATGATGGCCAATCTAATATTTTTTGACGATTAGTATGTAATAAGGCATTCTCTTTTAAGATACTTTGTACTTACAATAAATATAATATGTAGCTGTGCCAGCGACTTCGTCCGCGAGAATCGTTATTTTGGGCATCCAAATTGGTTTTGCAATCACATTTCTTTTGTCTACTTGGCGGAATCGACTCATTACCGACGCCCCCCGCCTGGCCACATGAATGGCGCGGCCAGCTAGCCGCCAGCTAGCTTGGCCACTACCCACTAAACCTCCAAGAGCCCACGGGAGACTTGCCGGACTCGAGCGGGCGGTTAGTTGCCCTTGACTTAATCTACAAAAATAGATATATAGCATCTTACTTTTTCTTTAGATCATTTAAAGAACAATCATTCTTTTATACATATTTTTTGTGTATCTTAACCGTTTTTGCAGCGTACGCCTCGGAAACCCGTAATGGTGAATCAATTTACCAATTTTTTTACATTTCTC